TCGTGGCTCTGTCGTGTGCTGGGAGATGAAGGTTTGATGAATAGTCAGTGATGCTGTAACACAGGGTCGTTGGCTGCCACTGCAGGGCTTCCCCTGGATACTATAATCAGATGAGGCTGAGTACTTCTGGCTTGGGACTGAATCGACCTCAGAACTCAGCCTGCAGGAGAAGCTATGGGAAGGAGTTGGCATGTGGCTGGCTCCCCATATTCTTTTTTTTCTGGAGATGGTGCTGTTCTACTCTTTTGGACATATAAGTACTTATTTGATCCCATAATGGGAACTGGCTCAAAAATAGGACCCATTAGACCTAGAATTGGCTCAACTTGTGAGTAGTTTTATGAGGTTGCACCTTGTTTCTATCTGGAATTCCTTTCAGGAATAGGAACCACAAGATAAGTTCAGCTGGGACAAAATTCAGATAAGCATTGAATGCCAAGATCATAGATTTAGAAGTAAAAGGCATCTGATCCTACCCCGCCATTTTAGTTTTAGAAAGGTTAAATGACTTGCTAAAGTTACACACAGAAGTAAGTAGGAGAGTTGGGAGTGAGGATATCTGACTCTGAATAAATACATTACTCTTTCCATTGGATCTCATTGCCTTTTGAGACCCACTCTGATTTTATGTTGTTCAATAGTTTTTACAGTCATGTGCAACTCATCATGACCCCCTCTGGCATTTTCTTGGCAGAGATACTGGAGTAGTTTGCCATTTCCTTCTCCAGCTCATTTTAGAGATGAGAAAACTGAGGTAAATAGGGTTAAGTGACTTGCCCAGGGTCACACAGCTAGTAAGTGTTTGAGGCCAGATCTGAACCCAGGAAAACGAGACTTCCTGACTCCAGGTCCAGAGCCCTCTATCCACTGTGCCACCTAGCTGCTCCATCTGATTTTATAGCTATCATCATTCCTTTTCTCCTCCCCCACCCCTTTCACTCCCTCCCCTTTCATTCCCCCACAAAAAGGGCTCCTCACAGTTGCATATAACTGGGATGACAGGCGCAGTCAGCTGAGACTTGGTGATGTGGGGACTGAGCAAACCCCTGATGTGAGCAAAGGTGAACCTCAATCTATAGATATTGCCCTATTGACCAAAGGTTGCAGATGTAGTTGAGGCTTTCCACACAAACCCTGGGAGATTCAAAATATCTTTTATTCATTTTCAGGCCAACCACCTATATTCATTTTAGTTACCTCTTATCCAAACGAACTTTTTTTTTTCTTTTTCAAAAGCTTGATCCATTTAGCTACCTGAATAAGTGTGAAGTAGGTTCAGTGAGGTGCATCTGGAGGAAAAGAATGATATAAAGTTTGCCCCAAAATGAGTCAGTGTGCTAAAAAATGTACCTTTTGATTGAATCACCCTCCTCCCCCACCCCCATCCCCATATCCCCCTTCTGCTATTGACTAAATAACAAAACTGGACTAAACTGTTTTGCTTCAGGCTGAATAGCAAATCCTGTCTCAACTCCTTGAGGCCCTCAGACTCATGAATATTCTACCTAACTTACAACTAGGCACTTTCTAGACAGGCACCCTTATTGGGTTATTTATATCCCAATGGTGTATTTATTTTATTTTATTTTAGGCAATTGGGGTTAAGTGACTTGCCCAAGGTCACACAGCTAGTAACTGTCAAGTGTTTCGTCTGAAGCCAGATTTGAACTCAGGTCCTCCTGACTTCAGGGCCGGTGCTCTATCCATGGCGCCACGTAGCTGCCCCCCAATGGTATATTTAAGTGCTATAGAATGCTGCTGATTGGCTCTGTGCTCTAAGCAAGCCTGAAAAAGCTATATAAGCCAGATCCACCCTAGGAAGCTGTTACTGCTATCAAATAATAATAATAATAATAATAATGATAATAGCTAATTCATATTGCTGTTCAGTCGTTCAGTTGTGTCCTACTCTTCATGACCCTGTAGATCATATCACACCAATACTATCTGTGGGGTTTTCTTGCCACAGGTACTGTAGTAGTTTGTCATTTTCTTCTCCAGTAGATTTAAGGCAAACTTAGATTAAGTGACTTGCGCAGGGTCACACATTTATATAAAGCTTGCTTATGTTAAGCTCTTTGCAATCCTCTTTTTTGATCCTCACAACTCTGGGAGGTTAGTGCTGTTATTCTTATTTTACAGATGAGGAAACTGAAGCAGGCAGAGATTAAGTGACTTGCCCAGGGTCACACAGCTAGTGTTTGAGGGCTGGATTTAAACTCAGGTCTTCTGGGGCAGCTAGGTGGCACAGTGGATAGAGTGGCCCTGAAGTCAGGAGGACCTGAGTAGATAAAAGTGCTGGGTCTGGAATCAGAAGACTCAAGTTCAAATCCAGCCTCAGACACTTACTAGCTATGTGACCCTGAATAAGTCACTTAACTAACTTCTGTTTGCATTAATCACTGGAGAAGGAAATGACAAACCAACTCCAGTATCTTTGCCAAGAAAACCCCATGGATAGTATGGTCCATGGAGTCACAAAGAGTTGCACACAAGTTTCCTGACTGGAGGTAGGAGATGATTTCTGCTACAACTCTTTGAGGAATTTCTTTTCTTTCTTTGGGTCTTTCTGACCCAACAAGGTCACACTGACCCATTGTGTTCCATGATATCACTGAATTTCAGATTTGAAAAGGACCTCAGTAGATGCCTGGTCCAAACTATTTACGAACTGTCTGTAGTTTTTATTTTTCTTTATATCACTCAGCACTTAGCACAATGCCCAAGGGCACATAATAAGCACTTAAATAATTGCTTGTTGATGATGAAAAAGAATGCCATATACAATATATGGTCATCTAGCATCCGCTGAAACTTAAATGAAAGGGAACTTATTACCTCCTGAGGAATTCCATTCCATACTTAAATCTAAATTTTGCCACTTTGTTACTTCTAGTCATTATTGCTTCTGGTTTTGCCATCTAGGGTCAAAGAGAGCAAGTATAATTCTTTTTCCATATGACGGTCCTTCAAGTATTTGAAGACAGCTGTTACAAGCCCTCTCTCCCCTTCTGAATCTTGTTATTCTTCAGGCTAAACATCTCTGTCTTAGACCTAAGACTCTTCATCATCCTAGTTGCTCTTCTCATGTTGCTTTCTAGTTCATAAATCTATAGCTTACGCACTGCCCTGCCTAGACACCTAGCTCAGAAGGAAAACAGACCAACCTACTTCTCTCAATCTGATGTAGCTTGTAAATTCACAAGCAGACAGGGTTGAGAGATGTTCTTCTGCCTACCTAGCCAATTTCTCCGAGTGAAATCTCAGAACTTAGATGTAGTGGGGACAGAGTGGGACCATTGGGCTTAACCTGAGTGAAGAGGAGATGGATTTTCTTTGTTGAGTGCACCTAGGACCTCAAGACTGTTCTCATTACGTGTCTATCTGGGCTGCTCCATCAGAGTGACATTCAGCTTGATCAGGTCTTAGTTTATACCACAGAGAATACAGTCGGTGGCTGGTTGTGAATGCTTCCAAATCTTTCTGCTAATTCACACATAGAATAAAAGTACTAAAGGCCTATTGCTTTATAGTGGGAGATGAGGGCCTCATAGCCAAAAGTCAACAGCTGCAGCTTGGAGAGATGGAGTGTCTGTGGTAGGATGTGTCTGTGTATGTACACATGTATATTCACAGCATAATCTGAGTGTGCTCTTTTAAGACTTTTGTAAGACCCTTTGTATGTATGTATGTGTATAGGTATATGTATATACATATACATACACACACTTGTGATATTATTGCTGTATGGAGTTCTTTGTGTGGGCCTTCCATCTTCTTCTAATACAATTTAGCATTCTTCTGTGTAACTTGTGACCTGAAGCATGCAGAATTAAGTGAATTGCCCAGGGTCACCCAATCTTATGGAGAAGAGTTAGGATTTGACCCCATGTCATCTTGACTTGAAGGCTGGCTCTCAAGCACTACACAGGCTATTCCATATGATCTGTTAGCTATGGAAAAGTCATGGAGGAGGTGTGGTGGGTTATTTATATCTCCTCAGTGTGCCTAGCAACTATAGTCACTTAATAGTTACTTGATACATTGACAGTCATAAGCAGACTTGAAGCTCATTCATTAAGATAAAAAAATTTTTTCCCTAGTCAACAAGTAGAGCCAATAAGCAACTATTAAGTGCCTATTATGTTAAGCACTATACTAGGGGTTAGAGATACAACGGCAAAATAATAGCCCCTACTCTTGAGGAGCTCAGTCTGAGGGAGGAGACAACATACAAACAACTATATACAAATATACAAATCAGAATTATAAAGGATGGATTGGAGATAATCAGTTGGAGAAGTTGTAATAAAAAGACACTTTATCCTAGGCACTCTTTCGAGGAGAGGTTGGGCTTTGCCTGCCTTTGGACCTTAAAGGAAACACAACTGGGACCCAGGAATGGACCACAGAGAGCCAATCAATATTAAGTGAGAATTCCTTCTATGATAACTTGCTTAAATAACATATTCACTGTATAGGTAGAGGCTATATCAGACTGCATGTCGTCTAGGGGAGTGGGGAGAGGAAGGAAGAAGAGGGAGAAAATTTAAAACTCAAAAGCTTATGGAAGTGAATGTTGAAAACTAAAAATAAATTAATTAATTAAAAAAAATATTCACCTTCCCTATGGCTCAAGGGATTGATCAATACACTTCAACTCAACACACAGCATAGGAAGGGACCTTAGAGGTCAATCAGTCCAACCTCTGCATTTTATACATTAGAAAACTGAAGTCCAGAGAGGTGAAATGAGTTGCCTGCATGATGGAGGTGATATCTCAACCCTGGTTCTATAGAGTGATAATGATGTGTCTTAGAGATCCTCGCCTACTCGTCCCTCAGAGATTCATAATATCCATCAGCAGACTAGCCCTCTATATCCATTTTAGTTATCACTTATCTAAATTAAGTTTTGCTCCTTTTCACAAACCTGGGACATTGCACTACTCGAATAAGTGTTAAGTAGGTCTCCTTAAGGTTCATCTGGAAAAAGAGGACAAGTTTGTAATTTGTAAAGTAGGTTTATAAGTTCAGGAAATGAGAAACCTGGGGACAGGAGGAAATCCAGAGTTATAAAACCTCTGCCCTACCCCCAATCCATCTGTGTATCCACTCGACCATGCCACCTTCTTGGAAGTAGCTGGCTGATACCAAGGACATAGGAAACAGACATTATATTCTTTGAACAACTATATAAAGAGTCAGAATTCCAATCAGACATCAAACGGTACTTAGTGAAGCAGTAGTTTTGTACAGTATGGAAACCAGGGTGGAGCAGAAATAGACAAGTTCAGGGGTCCATTCTCAGTACCCTAGAAGCCAATGGTGAAACCATTCCTACTCTCCGTATCACTTTCACCTCATTTTCAGTTTTCAACCAGTTTTGACTTAAAATCCAGTGTTCTTTTCAGAGGGGCATCTTCCTACCTGTGTGACCTTAGGTACAACGTTGCATATTTTTGTGCTTCCTTGAATATACAATGAGGAAGTTGGAATAAGGTCCCCTTCCTCTCTACATTCTAACTAGGTGGCTTTCTACACATATTCTGTGATCTAATGACACTGGCCTCCTTGCCATTCCTTTCACATGACACTTCATCTTCCAACTCGAGGAATTTTCACTAGCTGTCCTCTGTGCCTAGAATACCATCCCTTCTTGTCAAGGTCTCCTGGCTTCCCTGACTTCCTCCAAACTTCAGCTTTAGGGACTTGCAAGAAGGATTTCCTAGTCTTCCTTAATCTTCCTGCCTTCTTTCTAAAATTATCTCCAATTCATCCTGTGCACATTTTGTTTATACGTAGTTTGTCTTTTCTGGTAGACTCTGAGCTCCTGTTTCTTGTCTTTTTCTGTATCCCTAGGGCTTAGCACAGTGCCTAGAACATAGTAGGTGCTTAATAAATGCTTGTTGATTTGACTTGATATGACTCTGAATGAGGTATAATAGGATCATAGATTCAGAGTTAAAAAGGACCTTACAGGTGGTCAAATCCAAGCCCCTCATTTTACAGATGAGGAAACCGAGGTCCAGAGAGGTGAAGTGCTTGCTGATGGTCACACAGCTAGTAAGCATCAGACTAAGTAACAGCACTAGTGCATTCTGTCTTACCAAACCACTTTCTTCATAATGCATAAAGGTCCTGACAGGCTGTGAGTATTACGCCACCCTTGAAACATAACCTAGAATGTATAAATGTGCAAACTGGCTAATGGTAACAGGAGACACTTTTTTTTTTTTTGCAATATGAACATTATTTATTGTTTGTTATGGTTTTTAAACAGGTGAAGTACTACATAGGGGATGAAATACTCATACTGTGATATTTATAAGCTATCTGAATGACATTAGAGGATGGAATGAGTGTTCATGCTTTTCATTTTCCTGAAATTCTATCTTACCCTTCTTTTTTGTGACGAGATGAGCAACACACATGGTGGGATTTGCTGTTTGAGTGTTTACAATGATCTCTCCCTGATAGCCATCTATATTCCTGCCATAAAATAGCAATGAAAACCAATGCCCTGGGAACTAGGTATGATGCTTATACTTCCAGACAGGATGCTAAGTAAAGCATTTTGAAGAAAATAAAACATACTGCATTTTCTTATAAAATGAGATGAAAAAATAGATTTAAATGTAATTTTCAAGTGCAACTTTTTTCTTATACTTTAAAGCTCTGATCTTTTTCAATATACTCTACTTAAAATTTTAAAAATAAACCTTTTTTTTTTTGGTACCTCTAATTTCCTGTTTCAGTCCTGGAAACATTTAAAGACATTTTTACTATAACTCTTCTGTGCAAATAGAAAACATAAATATTATTAAAGTCCATGTTATAAAAAGGTTGTTTCAAGATTTTCACTGTTGTGGCAAACAGCTGAAGTCCCTTTAACTTTCTCCTGGAAGCAGTCTGAGGTCTCTCTTTTTAAACCTTTTAAGTCCTGATCCAGCTGGGAGCCAACGGAGAAAAATGTGCCACCCAGCACGTCAGTTTGTAAACTACTCTGAGAGAGCCGAAAGGCTCTTCCAAACCCATTAAACAATGGTGTGGAGGAAATCCAGTTTAGTAAACTGAAGTCTGGCAGGTCTAGAATAGAGGACAGGGGGGATACTTCTTTGGTGGAGGATTCCCCCTCAGAATCACCAGATGGTCCCTCTTGGACAGCACCTTCTAGTCTCTGTGGCACCAAAGAGTGTCCCCTTAAGCTGTCCATCATAGTGTTCTTCAAGGACTGGGCATTCACATTTGCTGTCCTGTGCGCACTCCTGGACTCTGTTACAGAAGCTGGTTGATGTCCAGACTGAGATGCTAGTGGAGAGTGGTCCTGAGGATGGGGTCCAGAGTTATCACTGCCCTTCGAAGCTGAGCTCTGCAATCCTTGCTCTCCTATAGGATGTTGCTGAGAAATGGTGTCTTTGTGAACACTGAATTCCTTTGGGCCCCACCTGGCCAACTGGCGCCCCAGCTGAAGCTGAGTTGGGAAGAGTGTCCCTTGGAATGTTCTATACAAAAATCTGGAGATGATGCAGAGTAAAAGATAAAGAAAAACAAACAAACAAACAAACATGGTTACTAGAGATAGCTATTGCATGATGAAAATTATATCAAGGGAACAAAAGTAGCTATGGTTAGAGGAAACATGATAAACAAACTTACCGAGGCAATAAGGCAACAACAGATGATATGATGGTAGTCAAGTAAAACATGGGGTCACCCATTAACCTTTGCATAGTCCAGTAAGGGTTAGATGGAGGAAAACACGTTGAACAAGAGGCATTGTACACCAAAGCCACAATGAAAAATACAAGGATACTGAAGCCACATGCTGTCCAGTGGAGCCAGGTCTGGGAGATAAAAGAGAAATAAAAGGCATTCTTCAAAAATGATTCAAAATGTACTTCAGTTTGACAAGCACTTTAACCATCATCCAGCAATGAATGACCTTAGTCTTGAGGGCCAACTACATAGGCAAATAGTATCCTTGGTGTCAGTGTGGGACTGGGGTAGAGGAAGGGGAGAAGGAAGAAGAGGGAGGAGGGTTGGGTATGATGACACATGAAAATAGGAACTGAAGCCTAAAGATATGTGTGTGCAGAGTGGGCAAAAGGCCCCTAGCAGTGCTGCAGGCAATGTACAGATTCACTAAAACTTCGTTTTTTTCTATTTCTGGAAAGGGAAGATTGGTTGGTATGTTCATGTTATGTTCACATGTATGGCGTTTCTAAATAGCAGTAGTATTAAATTTGGGAAAATAAACACTTGCTCATTAAAACAAGGCAAACAAAAACATCAGTCTTGTGGCTCTTACCCAGGTTTTGGTTTCAATGCCCAAATGCAGTATGATGGTGAAGAGAGCTATCGTCATGATGACAGTTCCCCAGGAAAATATATCAACATCAGAGTCACGATAGGCCTGCAAAAGAATAGCATTCTGAGTGCTTGTGGAGCCTGGGGTAAAGCCAATTGACATAAATTGCAGAAAAAGGTCAACTTAAAGAAAATGGTCAAATTCTTCTGTGTTTGGAGGGCAGGGGATGTCAACTTCAGAATTTTAAAAATTAAATTTAAATTTAAAAAAGAAAAAGGCCAACTTACGAAGTAAGGGATGAAAAAGCAAACCAGGCTTTGATAGGTGGCGTCAATCATGTTCATCCAAAACATATGGGGCTGGTATTCCTTTGAGGAAAAAACAAGAAACAAAACAAAAAGGGAGACTGAGGGAAAAGTTGGGCATTACCTAAAGAGACTTATTTCTTACTAACCAAGTTATATCTTTTTTTTTTTTTGGTGAGACAATTGGGGTTAAGTGACCTGCCTAAGGTCACACAGCTAGTAAGTGTCAAGTGTCTGAGATCACATTTGAACTCAGGTCCTTCTGACTCCAGGGCCAGTGCTCTATCCACTGTGCCACCTAGCTGCCCCGAATCAATTTATATCTTAAAAGGCCATGTAAAGATGATGGAAAGAAGGGATAGGTAAAAGGATGAATAAAAAAGGTATGACACAGTTTATAAAAATAGAGTTATGAGTGATAAAACTCAGAATAAGCTGAGGTTAGGGAGAAAACTGGGTAAAAAGGATGACTTTGACATAACAAATGTAAAGTGTGAAACTTTAAAGTGCTTTATAAATGCTAGCTATTATTTATTTTGGGGGAAGAGAGAAGGATCAAGAAGAGATTAGACCACTGCTTGGGTGAATGGGGCAATGATAAGCAATGAGAGCAACAGAGAGTGAGAGAGAGAGAGAGAGAGAGAGATGGTGTTGTTTTTCAACCCTTAGTTTCTGTTTTCTCTCCCAAGAAAAACATCTTTAGACTAGAAAGGACAGGTTGAAATTGGGTAACAGGGAATTGATACCCAGAATAAGTAGGAAAGCTGTAAGAGAACATCTGGTCCTGATCAGTTCAAGTAACTAGGACCAGATGAACCACATCTTCTGGTACTGAAAAAAACCTGGCAGATGTAATTGCAGAGGCACAATCAATGATCTTTGAAAGATTACAGCAAATAGGAAAAGTACTGCAGGACTGGAGAAGGGCAAATGTTGAACAGATCTTCAAAAAAGGGAAGAAAATGGATCCTGCCAAATACAGGTCAATGGACTTGATTCTTATTTTGGGGGAAATTTTTTTTTTTAGAACGTATTATTAAAAGGATGGATAATGGTACATCTAGAAAAGGAAGCCATGATCACAGACTCAGCATGGTTTTGTCAAGAGAATGGATCATGTCAACTTCTCTTTGCTATGGATATTGCTTAGATGGATCTTAGCAAAGCATTTGATTGTTTCTGATGCTCTTGTAAGAAAGATGGAGAGGTGAACGCCAGCCATTACTATAATTACCATAGGTGGATTCTGATTCTGAATTGATTGAATGATAAGATCCAAATTGCAGTTTGGAAATCCACAGTCAAATATCCCTGTCATCTGGGTTTGGTACTATTTAATCTTTTGATCAATGAATGGAAAAGGCATAGGTGGCATGTTTATAAAATTTGGAGATGAAAGAAAACTGGAAGGAAAAGTTAATATACTGTGAACCAGTCAAGTTTCAAAAAATATATTGAAAGGCTAGTTCCCTATTTGAGAGAAGTATACCCCTTTCCCCTGTGTATGTGTGTATGTATGTATGTATGCATGAATGTATTTTTTTGCTGAGGGCGTGACCATTTTTCTAATTATATAGGTTCAAAAGCTGGAATCATCCTGTGCTCTTCATTCTTACCTACCCCACAAATCTAATAATTACTGAGTCTTGATGACCCAACCTCCACAATATCACTTGCACCATCCCCTTTTCTTCACTCATTCAGACATCATCATAGTTTATATCCTCACTACCTCTTGCCTAGACTATTGAAATAGCTTTCTAATTATTCTCCCAGTCTTAAGTCTCTCCTCCAATCCAATCTCCACACAGCTGAAATACTCACATTCTTAAAACAAAAGTCTTATCATGTCACTCCTGTGCTCAGTAAATTCTAGTGGTTCCCTTATCACCTTCAACAAACTTCCCTATTTTTCACTTAAAGCCCTTGACAACTTAGTTCCAGCCTATCTGGATGTTGTCTCAGACAAACTAAGACCTGGAAAAGGCCAAGGTTTCCCACTGAATCCAGGGTCATCACCAGTTGTCTTAACCTACATCTTGCCCCTGGACTCCCTTGACTCTGGAGGAGACAGTGAGGCTGATGACTTTGCACAGTCCTTCCTCATTTAAATCCAATTCACTTACAAGTGAAGACGTTACCCTCCTGATGTTGTTAGTCATTTTCGAGAACGAAGGACAAACAGCAACATCTGGCCTTATTATAGATTATCGCCCTTCATCTATTCTTCAGACCTCCCAAACACGGTCTTCTTGCTATTCATCCCACACAACATTCTCTCTCCTATGTTCATTTTTTTTGCACAGGCTCCTCCATTCCTGACATGCACTCCCTCCTACCCTCCATTTCTTAGAATCCCTAGTTCCTTCAAAACTTATCTCAAGAACCACCTCCTACATAATGTCTTTCCTGATTCTTCCAGGCATTAGTGGCTTCTCCCCACATCCCCAATTGCTTTGTTTTTATCTTATACAAACTTTTGTTGTTAGTCATTTTCTGTTGCGTCTGACTCTCCATGGCCCCATTTGGGTTTTCTTGGCAGAGATCCTGGAGTGGTTTGCCATTGCCTTCTCTAGCTCATTTTACAGATGAGGAAACTAAGGCAAACAGGATGAAGTGACTTGCCCAGGGTCACACAGCTAGTAAGTGTGTGAGGCCAGATTTGAACTCAGGAAGATGAGTCTTCCTGACTCCAGGCCTGGCACTCTATCCACTGTGCCATCTAGCTGCCCACACTAATTTTGTATGTGCTTATTAATTTCCTGTCAATTGATTTGTTGAATCAAATCAAAATGTATAATATTTAAGAGAGATAAGTGTAAAGTCTTATACTTGGGTACAACCTCCCCCCCCAAAAAACCCAAGACCTTTCATAAGTACAAGATGGGAGAAATGTAACCAGACAAGGAAGTTCATTTGCAAAAGTTCAGGGAGATTTTAGTGGGCTGCAAGCTCAATATGAGTTAACAGTGTAATAAGAAGAAAGCTTAGGCAATTTTCCACTGTGTTAAGAGAGATGGTGTCTAGAACTTGGGAGGAAATTAGAATTATCAAGAGAATGTTTCATGCAAAAATGGGCATGATAAAAGACAAAAATGGTAGAATATAGAAAAGAATAAGAAGAAATGATAAAAATATGCAGAACTATACAAGAAAGATTTTAATATCACCAATAACCACAATGGTGTAGTTACTGATCTAGAGCCAGACATCCTGGAAAATGAAATCAAGTAGGCCTTAGGAAGCATTGCAAACAATAAGGCTAGTGGAGGTGGTGAAATTCCAGCTGAGCTATTTAAAACCCTAAAAGATGATGCTGTTAAAGTGCTGCACTCGATATGCCAGCAAATTTGGAAAACTCAATAGTGGCCACTGGATTGCAAAAGATCAGTTTATGTCCCTATCCAAAAGAAGGGCAATGCCAAAGAATGTTCAAATTGCCAAAGTTTTAATTGTGCTCATTTCACATGCCAGCAAAGTTATGCTTAAGATTCTGCAAGCTAGGCTTCAGCAACATGTGAACTGAGAATTACCAGAAGGGCACGCTGGTTTTCAAAGCGGCAGAGGAACCAAAGACCAAATTGCCAACATTTGCTAGATTATGGAAAAAGCAAAGGAGTTCCAGAAAAATATCTACTTCTGCTTCATTGATTACACTAAAGTCTTCAAGTGTGTGAATCACAACAAAATGTGGCAAGTCCTCAAAGAGATGAGAATACTAGATCATCTTACTTGTCTCCTGAGGAACCTCTATGTGAGCCAAGAAGCAACAGTTAGAACCTGGAACAACTGATTGGTTTAAGATTGGAAAAGGAAATACGACAAGGTTGTGTATTGTCACATTATTTGTTTAACTTATATGCAGAGGACATCATCCAAAATGCCAGGTTGGATGAAGCAAAAGCCAAAATTAAGGTCGCTGGGAGAAACACCAACAATCTCAGATATGCAGATGATACCACTCTAATGGCAGAATGTGAAGAAAAATGAAGAAGCCTCTTGATGAGGGTAAAAGAGGAGAGTTTAAAAATCTGGCTTGAAACTTAACATCAAAAAAACAAAGATTTTGGCAAGTGAAAAACAGAGGAAGAAGAAATGGAAGCATTATCAGATTTTATATTTTTGGGTTCAAAGATCACTGCAGATAGCAATTTCAGCCATGAAATTAAAAAATGATTGCTCTTTGGAAGGAAAGCTATTGCAAATCTGGACAGCTTACTAAAAAGCATACATCACCCTGTCGGCAAAGGAATGTATAATCAAAGCTATGGTTTTTCCAGTAGTAATGTCTGGCTGTGATTTGGACTATAAGGAAAGCTGAGCACCACAGAATCTATGCTTTTGAATTGTGGTGCTAGAGAAGACTTTTGAGAGTCCCTTCAACAGCAAGAAGGTCAGATCAGTCAATACTTAAAATACTTTGGTCACATAATGAGAAGATGGCACTCTTTGGAAAAGAACCTGATGTTGGGAAAGATTGAAGGCAAAAGGAAAAGGGGACAGTAGGGGATGAGATGGACAGAGAATGTCAAGGAAGCAATGAACATGAGCTTGGACAAATGGAGATTGAGAGACCACTTTCTGAAGTTGGTTATTCTCAAATGTGAATTAGAGAACCTATCTGCAAGTACAATGATGTTGCCTAGCAGATTGATGGAAACATCTCTTATGGTCATGAATCTAGTGAGTACTCAATCAGTATCCATAGTGGAGGATAGAAAGGCTTGTTGTGTTATGGTCCATGGGGTCACAAAGAATCAAACATGAGTCAACTTGTATTCTTATCATAGATTACTCTCCTTCCTGTCCACCCAACTGGCCTTCTTGCTTTTCTTAAGAACACATGTGAAGTATCATGTTAAGTTTGCATGCCCTATTTTAGGAAGGACACTAAAAAGCTGAAGAATGTTTGGAGGAAAGTAAATAAAAAGTGGAGGATCAAGGTCAGGCCATAGAAAGACATGTGAAGGAATTGGGGATGTTTAGGTTTAGAGAAAGGGTGACTTGGGATGGAACATGAAAGTTGTGTTCGAGAGTATCAAGGCCTGCCATTTATAGGGCAG